GGTGGTGGTGGTGGTCAAGCGGTTTCAGAGGCTGACACCGACGTATCCTTGGTCGGAAGCTAGAGTTCCGCCAGCGTCACCCAACTACGACGGTAGGCAGCTTTACTGAAGTTCGGCTCAAAACCACGCCTAACTAAGAGAGGGACCTTGTGGTTTCTCACTCCAAGTTCCGGGGCTTAGATTACCGGTGTCCATGACTGAACAGCAGGTCCTCGTGACTATGGGGTTTTCCATGTCTGGTGTTTATCATACAAAAGTGTGCAGTAAAGAATTGGGGGAACTCAATAAAGAAGAGCAATGGAAAGTGGGGGTTAAGTGAAAATACGGTTCTGAATATGAGTCTGTAGTCGAGTACAGGTTATCTGAGACGTATTGATAATATCACAAAAAGTGTGTGGTTATTATATTACCCGATTATCCACACCGAAGTAGGTCCGCTTAGGAGGCCTCGCCCGAAGTATCAAGTCATTATAGCTAACCCAGAGGCAGCGGGATGAACTGCGAAGTTTATTAGTAACCCATGAAAGGAATTTCCATACGAATATTGGTTAGACATTCGATACATCCAGAAAGCTCAGGTTTGGAGGCAGTTCAGTTTCAGTCTTCGTTTGTACAACTGTTAACCATGTGCCTTCAACCGACGGTTTTGATTACTTGTTTGGAAACGAGATGTCAACCAATCCTCTAGATAAGCAACCTATGACGCGCAAACTGATAGATATAATCACCAATTCGCTTTTCTTCGACAAATCTGGTGGACGATACACCAAGCGTAAAATGTCACTGCTCTGTGACTGCATATTGACTAAATTAGCAAATATGTCCATTCTAAAAACTTAACTAGTGGAGCTAATCACTTGTTTTACGTCAAGAGAATGAAGTATTGGGAGAATATTCACTTACCCTACAACGAGGATCTGTGAACGGAGCGACCAGTTTTTGCTCCCTCCCGCAAGGCCATTGATGGTCGATAGAACCAAGCCCCATTTGAACCAGGTACACGTTAGGTCGGACTTCGTGTACAGTTTCCGGATCACAGGGGACAGTACGAACACCAACGTGTCCCCAAACCAAAGCCAAATACTGCTTTCCAACCATTCGTTTCGTAAAAGTCTTCCCGAGCTGTAGCGGTAACAGTGAACGTTGAACGGCAACCATAATATATCTGTATTGCAGGAGATTATCAAAAATGGCAAATATACGAAATACAACAATGTAATTAGCATCCACACACACATGGGTGCTGTTTTAAGTACAGTTTTTCGGTGCAACGATTAGAATAGAGTCTCTGAAGTCAAACCCCTGCCCCCATTTAGTTGAGTGGATAACATGACACCTGACAATATTTGAAAACAATATCTAATTGAAGCAACAATGCAATCTATCAGTGAAACTGAGGGAGATGGAAATTGAAGTGGCGAACCACAAAAGGTCAAAGTAGGTTACTATAGGAGATAAAAAAGAGCTTGATAATAGTCACGTTGTCTATAACCAGTGGGGTGAGGTTCGAATATTGGACCTTGTGGTCCAGAGCAAGCCATTAAATGTGACTCAGGTGGATAGAGCATGGAGGGGCCAGTGCTGAGGAAAATAAAACTAGTCCACTATGAACGAAGGAACGAAAAGAAATGAAAGTTTGTTTTATTATTTGAAGAGATTCTCATCATCAAAAACACGGATAAGTGAACTGGAAGCAAGCCATCGGAAATATGGCTTACGCATAGGCAATAAGATCGAACAGACGATAAGTAACAATACAAATCCGGTTACTGGTACTCGTCACAATATTTTCTGAATAACATTTATCACTGCACAAGCCATCACAGGCAATCAATAAGATATGTAAACGGAAATTTACAGCTTACTATATGTGCAGTGAAACGATCACATGCGATACATATGAGTCCGCTGGTTGCGTAGTCTAGGCGATTCACAAAATGGAACATGTTTTCCAGGTCCCAGTTGGCGTACTTTGGACGGTTGAAGAACAGCTGATTTAAAAGAGAAAAATAACTTTATGGATGAGTCTTTAATGTATAACGGAAGGAACCCTTAGATTTACATCTATGGAAGCCACTGAGAAACTTTACTGTGTTCTGTGCTTGACAGGCAAAAATTATCCCACTGATCTAAAAGAATTTATCCCTAAAAGTGTGTACTGTATGGCGTTTCAAGTAATGGTGGCACCTCTGCTAGAAGGGCTTGCTGCGTTCCTGGGTTGTTCCATCGAAGTATTCTAGGCAGTTCAGATTTCTTTGAACTTTTGGCTCATCAATTCAGAATTCAATGACATCGTCGTTTTTGGTGAGGATATGTCCGACCGCCAATAAACCGTTGACAGCATTGTTTGGCAGGATCCTGAGATGGGCCAAGAGGAGAACACTTCAAACCAGAATGTTTGTGAAAATCCTAAATCATCCCGAAGACAATTTACAACTAAAAGACGGACTGATCAAAGCCGACGAAAGCTTTAAATATTTGAGCTCAACGATATATCACCATCATTGTACAGCGAAACACAGTGAAGCCAACTGCACTGATCGCTGTCAAATTCACAATGTACACAAATTAAGTAATTAAGTAAAAGATGGAGAGGAATTGGGCCTAGTTGTCTTCCGCACCCAACCCTATCCCTTTACTCCTTTTTCCGACCCGTAACATTCCCTCAGATAAATTGGGCGTCACTCGCCAAANGTCGTTGCCAAATAGCCCTGTAACTCGTTTTCCTGTAAATAAAGTGCAGATTCTGAAGCCTCCCCAATCTTTCAACGTGAGGACTCTTATGCAGGTGAGTCTTGCGCGTACAATGCAGTCTCTATAAATCGATATCTGTTGGGTATTGGAGACACGAATTCAGGATTATAAGCCACCTGAGTGCGCCGAGTCTGTCCTCGAGGTATTTCCTTCGCACATCAGGAGACGACAAAGCCCGCTGACTGGGTTAGCGTTGTGCAGGGATCGCACTAAACGTAAAGCTGAAGCCTCTATGATAGACTGGATACCCGCCAATAGTCGTTTGTGCGCAATGCGGCCAAAGGGTTCAGTCAGTGCTCGGAAGGGTAGCAACACCAAAAGGTTCATCGTTTTCGTGTATGCCCCCACCAACTGCAGTCCCGCTTCACAAAAGGACGAACTTTACGACAAACTCGCTGAACGGCTACATGGTGTTCTGGTTCAACGGGAAAGTTGGCGTGATTCACTACAAAATTGCAGATCCTATTGGACCATGCACTAGTTCTGTTACGCTTCACTCTTCGACTCATCGGTCATCGGCAGAAACCACCTCCTCAGTTAGCTCATCATTGTCTGCGCGATCCACCTGTCTGCACACTTTATGAAGAGAAGCTGGGACAGGAGCTAGGAGAACCGCGACATAGTGGAGTAGACCAACAGTGGAAACAGACTAGATTTGCAATGCACTCAGCAGCAAACTTTGCTTGTGGGGCTGAGCCCGAAGTGAGCCGAAGGCATTGGATCTCTCAGGAGTAAGTAATCCTGATGGATCAAAAGCGAAAGATCCCAATCTGCCAGGATCAGCGTAAGGACCGGTGTCACCTGCAACGTCAACTCAGGAATAGCTTAAGAAAGATAGCGAAAATTGGTGGGCCAAAATAGCTAGTGAAATGGAGGTAGCTTCTGCATTGGGGAATAGTCAAAGACTGTTTCATCTGACACGCAGCACCGGAGGTCGTGGCATACTGGTCAGTGAGACCAGTTGCGATAAAAGTGAACAGAGTATCCACAATAAAGAACAACGACTTGATCGCTGGGCAGAGTTTTTTAGTGAACAGTTCAATTGGCCTAGTGCTAATGTGGTCGTTCCAATAATTGCAGCGGAAGACCCATGGGTGGTAACATGAGCCCCCATCAGAATCGGAAGTAGGAAGCTCCATTCAATCACTAAAGAACGGGGAGGCTGCGGGACCTGATGGGCTTCTCCCTATTCTTTTTACGGTGGGCGGTGATTCTCTTGTAGACTCAAATACTAGCTTACTTCGCAGCATTTGGACGGAGGAGCGTATTCCTTCGTCCTGTGGTGAATCGTTGATCGTCCTGATCTTCAAGAAGGGATCACGCGACAACTGCGCAAACCACCGTGGGATTAGTTTAGTTCCGATAATCAGAAGTGTTGACTTCTGCGATACTTCGTCGCCTGACACCCTTAAGGGAAAGAAATATCCGCGAACAGCAAGCCGGATTCCGACCAGGTCGCGGGTGCATCGACCAAATCTTCACTCTGCGTCACACACATCGTCGGCCAACGATTGCAGTATTCTTTGACCTAAAAGGAGCCTTCGATTTAGTTGACCGTGAAGCTCTTATGGGGCCGCTGCTCCGCAAAGGAATACCGCGGAAGTATGTGAACCTATGTAAACCTGTTCGCCGAGCTTGGCAATTTGTTTGCAAACGTTTCATCACCAGCCGAGGTGACATCATCAGTGCTTGTAAAGTGGCAGCTTTCTGCTTGTGTCCGTCCATATATGTATATACAGTCAATCTCCTGCTATGTCGCACCCCTGAGAAGTCGCATTTTCCAATATCT